TTGGAGCTACGTTTAAAGCTGATATTATACAACGTTTCCTGATGCTATCGGGCCGTCTACACGGATTTTGAAGAGGGGGTGAGGGGGGCCCAATCATCAAAGAAGATTGAGATGAAGATTGAGATGAAGAAGACTAAGATTGAGATGGTGTTTTAAACCTATTAATAGTTTGAAATTTTGACTTATCTACCACAGTTGATTCAAATTGTTGCACCCGCCTGACAATTAGCAATCTATGTTTAACTATGCATTGAACATATCTGTATGTTTGAGCAGATTTGTTGAGGCAAAAATTGCTTTTTGAGCGTTACTTAGTGTATTTCAGTCAAGCCAATAGGTCACCTTCTTCTTTATTATTTCGTATCTTTTAACAAAAAGCAGAAAATTTAATTTTGGAAAAAAAATCGGGCGTAAAAGTTATTAAAGAATATGTTTTAATTTTGACGGGCGTAAAAGTTATTAAAGAATATGTTTTAATTTCACTGATAGCAAAATCCACTTCTCAGAACATTGTTTTCATTTTATAAAAAAAGAAAATTTATAAAAAAGGAAAATTTTATTTATCAAAAAAAGATGCTCCGTAACATGGTTGGACATACTTATACTTTTATAACATTTAGTTAAATGCAAAAGAATAACTCTCTGTTTTATTCTATTCACATTAATGTGAGTAATCGAGTTCTTTTTCGTACACATGACACTTTGCATAAATAGTATCAGTCATTTCAAAGAAATTTAAACTACAAAATTTTTTGGGCATTTTATGAAGAAAGGCAGCTTTCATCTGAAAAAAAAAATTTAAATGTTTAATCTAAATTAGTTTTTAATTGAAAAAAAATTCCTTTAGAATAATATTAGTATAATTATACTAATTTGTTTATATAATTAGTTTATATAATATGTTAATATAAACAAATAAAATTAGTTTCGATAGAAATACCTGTGCCCAAAATTAGCACGGGTAATAGCTAATATTTAACAAACTTTATCAAATTGTTCAAACTTTATCATATTGTTATTTTATATTCGTTTAACAAATAATATTCTATAAACAAATAATGTTCGCTGAACAAATATTAATTCGTTTAACAAATAAAAGTAAACCAATATATATTCGTTCCAGTTTATTTGTTTAACGAATATATATTTGTTAAACGGTTATTATTTATTGAACCAATATAGGTTTACGAATATATTCGTATCCTAAGAATAATTTAAACGATTAGTTTTTTCGAATATTCTTTAACGAAAAATTTAACCGAGTATTATTTAATGATTATTCGTACATCGATATTTGAAAAACGAATAATTGTCGCGCTCTAGTTCACATCATGCATCATATCATCTGAAACAATACAAAAAGATTTGTGATAAGGAAAACCTTTTTTTTTGAAATAAATAATCTCATGATGTAGTGTACATTGTAAATTTGTCCAATGAAAGCTTTGCACTTCATCCTAAACTACAAATTTATAGTTTTCTGAAAAAAATTACCCAGAAATAATGCTGTTAACTTATTCATATCTTCCTTTCTTGATCTCAGGTATGATGCTTGACTCTTAGCTAAATACAAGTGTGCACACGTGTGGTGCAAGTTTTTTCAGTTTTTTACATACTAGTTTAATGTATTCAGATTCTGAAATTTTTATTATGTGTTACGTTTGACCTATCTGTTGTTGTCCACTGATCAAATTCTACTTCATCGTCATCTTCCAACTCTCCAATTAAGTTATAAAATTTTTAACCAATGCATACATAAATGCTGGGCGTCTTTAAAATTTACGCATCATACAGTCTTTATTAGTCATATGACTAATAAAGACCTTATGTTGTATGTAACATATGTCACATACAATATAAGGTTCTTTGTATGTCACACCAAAAGGATGTAAAAGCAGTTTTAAATTCTGATGAATAGCATTGACGCATACTGAATGCGTTCCTGAAGCACCAGTAATATACCATTTTGGTCGCAATGAGCGAAACCTTGAAAACCCAATTTTTAATTTTTGGGTTCATGGTTTTGAAAGCAACAAACAATTTCTTAAATTACATAAGAGAAAATGTTTTTTTATATAAAAATTTTTCTTTATGCTTACATAGTCCTTTTTACAAAGCATTATACCGCTATATTCATCATCTTCATAAAAAGACTTGACCAGTTAAGCTGTTACATTAAGAAGAACTTTTTCTTATTTAGGATTAGGCATAGATAAAACACCTTTTTCTAATGGTACGTACAGTTCGAGCTACATAGTTTATTACATGTAATGTTTCAGAAACTTTTTTCATTGACCTGTCAGTTGAAGCAAGCGTTGTCAGTTGTACTTTTTTAGATGTTGCTGTAGACTTTGCAGTATTATTACTAAAAAATACCATCATGTTATCAAACAAATTTTCTTTTTCCATATACTCATGACTGAAACTTGACTGTTCTTCAAAACTTTCTTCTGGTATATTAAGGGAAGATAATACTTTTTTCTTAATGGAGGTTGTTAGTGCTCTCAATTTTTGTTTACTTTCTTAAACTTTTCCTAACTTATGCAATCCTTTGACCTTAATAGGAGATGCTCTAGCAGCTGTAAATTGTGTATTTACACCCTATTTTTTATTTTGAATGGATGTTTCTCTAACAATATACAAATTATCACCATTATTTTCACTCATACTTTTTGATAAATGTTTCATAACTTTACTTAGACAGGTTGGACACAACTTTTTTCTAGGTATAAGATTTAAACCTACGGTTTCTGCTTCTAATACAGTATTTATTGTAATCACACGTAAAAATCCTGAAAAAAAAATGTAACTATATCACTCAAATACTTTAACATTAATAATATATATACTATTATTATAAAACAATAAACAAATCCTATTACAAAAAACTAATAAACAACTTATTAGGAATGGTATTACCCATTAAAACTTAAATATATAAACTTTTACCTCTATACACTTTTTTGTGAGTCAAAAATGGATTACAGAAACTTTTCTGATTACTTTCACATCTCACTATTAACATACCACGATGATGCGTGCATATATTAGTAATTTGTTCTTCTTTCAAGTTTGTTCGTTTTAAAAGTAATTTATGATCATTCCTGTCAATATCTTCAATCAGATTTCTTACTTGTATATGATTGTTTTTTTAACAAGCTCCATAATTATTTACAAGCGAACAATTTATTTTATTATCCATATAAAACTATACTAAGGAATTATAATCTAAACACTTAAGTAGAAGAAATCTTAAATACAATATTCCTAATGAGCAAAGTACACTTTAACACAAACAATATGTTTAAAATAAAAATCAAGTTATATTTATAAAGAGCATATTTGAACAAATAGCTATTAGACATACTTTGAATGCCTAATTATCTTCTAATTGTTGTATATTCTCCCCTAATTATCTACCAAAAATTAGGATAAAAGTAGATTATAACTAAATATAGTTGTATTTAGTTATATAATTTAACAAGGTAATTCATTTTGGATATTATTATGTATATTTGTCAATTTATTACTTATTTTATTGATAATTATCAATAAAATAAGTAATAAAATGACAAGTATACATAATAATATCCAAAACGAATTTTTTCTTAAAATATAATAGTGATTATCTTAAGATAATCACTATTTTATTACAATAAAACAATCAATAAATACAAGATTACATAATATGTAATCTTTTATAATATGTATATATCTTTTACAATATGTATATATCTTTTACAATATGAAAATATCTTTTATAATATGTATATATCTTTTATGATATGTATATAAAAAAAAGGTTACATAATACGTAATCATATTAAGTCACTCCAAAAACAAAAAAAAAAAAAAAAATACAAAGTAAAAAAATATTTATAACTGCAAAAGAAATGAAGATAAACATTTTCTTTTTAATCATTATTCGTTTTTATTTTGCTTTATTTTGTTTTAGTTATTCGTTTTTATTATATTTTTTTTGTCTTTAAAAAGAAAAACTGACCAAAATCTGACCACTTCTTACTATAAACAAAACAATTTTAATATTATTAGGATATTCAAAGATGAATATAATTACAAACCAAATAAAGCAAAATAAAAACGAATAATGATTAAAAAGAAAATGTTTATCTTCATTTCTTTTGCAGTTATAAATATTTTTTTACTTTGTATTTTTTTTTTTTTTTTTTGTTCTTGGAGTAATTTTTCTTCATACTTTTTCTTTTTTTAAATAATACTTTCTTTTTTCTTTTCTTCTTGGAGTAACTTATTTTTAACTTCTGCATGTTTGTACTCCATAGCTTCTTTCGATGCAAAAAATATTTTAATGCCGTTTTATTTTTTTTAATGATTTGTGTTGGATAAGGTAAAAGATCAGAATCTGGATCTCCTGAAAACAATTGATTTTGAAATGGAAAATTTTGATAGATATCTCTTTTTTTTTCGTGACATTATCTTGATTATTAATATTACCAGAAACTAAATTAGTTGCTGGTGTATTAGAAATGACACTATCTTTATCATTAATATTAACAGAAACTAAATTAGTTACTAATGAATTAGAAATGGCACATGTATGATCAAAGTTTAAAAGCGGAGATTTGTTAATTGCTAACGCTGATATAGAAAAGTCAACTTTTTTTTCATTTGTTGGATTTGATGAATATTCCATAAAATCTTCTATTTCACAATGATCATTATATAGTGATGGTAATTTGTCCATGTTATTCAATATGTTCTCACTTTTTTGATGGCTTTCTGATGGCATGTATAGAGAATTAGGGATGTAAGCTTCAGTTGGAACTATGCTTGGATCATATGGATAGATTCCACAAGCCCGAAAACCAGATTTAATATTATTTACAGTAATAGATTCGCTCAAAGCCTGCTTCATCAAGCCACAAAAACTTACTTTCGAAACTAGTGTCCCAGGAAAATTACTAATCAAATTCTGACATGCTTTTCTGTAAGCTTTTTTGAGTGGGCCAAATACTGTCCTATCATGGTTGTAGCCAGTTGGAAGTGTGCGCAGGCAATTCAACAATGTGTATTTTGTTTGCCACAGCCACATCAAATAACTCAACAAAGTTGTGTGAGTCATGTCCATCTAGAATGAGTAACTGAGGTCTGTCAGAACCAATATTTGGAAGAAATGACTTTGTAAATGCCCTGCTTTGTCCAACCACTGTCTGAAACACTTCATGTGCTTCCGTTAGGGGCATTTTCCATTTGAAATTGCACAGAGATCTTATAGTTTTTCCTTTTACTATAAAATGTGGAGGAATAGAGTTACCGGTTGCATTTAAGCATGCTAAAACAGTAATTGTTTCCCGATTACCTGAAGTACGACTATGTAGATACTTTACTCTTTTTTTAGCAATTATTTTTCCAGGGCGATAATCAAACTGCATACCCGTCTCATGCATATTCCGAATGTTTTGTGGTTTGTTATTTAAGTTATTTTCCATTAACACCTTTTTGAAAACAGAAAAATATTTTGAAACTTTAAAAGCATTCATACATTAATGTCTAATAGCAGCTGTACCTTCTGGTTGATGTAAAGTAAAGCGCTTGTGTCTTTTGCACATTCCACGCCACCATTTTTCAGAAGGTGTTCTATTCTTAAATGATTTTTTATGTTTTAAAGCAAAGTTTTCTGCATATTTAAAAAATTGAGATCAACCTAATCCTATTCGTAAAGATGCATGATTGCATGCAAAATTTACTATTTTATTTTCTTCTTCTGCAGTTAGAGTATTTAGATGTCCAGGTTTGGCTCCAATTTATGTTACTCCAGATAGTTGAACTTGCAACGAACTTCTTAAAACGCCAACAATTTTACAAGCAGCTATCTGTGAAACTCCATTTTTTACAGCTTTAACTGCTGATATCATAGATGCATTATTCCATAAACAGTGTTTTCCACGTTTACTTCTAAGCACTTTGATTTTCTTTGAATTATTTTTACCTATTTTATTTTTCTTTATTTTTTCCATTCTAAAGGAAATTGAAAAAAATAAAACTATTATGATTTTACATTTATCTTACTGTAATCTTACATTTATCTTACTGTAATCTTACATTTATCTTAATGTAAGATTATATTATTAACAGCAATAATATAATATTTATAATACTATCTATTATAGTATATGTTCATGTTTACATGTAACATATATATATATATATATATATATATATATATATATATATATATATATATATATATATATATATATATATATATATATATATATATATATATATGTATGTATATATATATATTGTTGTTTATTATTGTATCTGGTTGAGTTGTATCTGGTTTTTACAGGTGTTTACTTTATATTAGTACAAATTACTATTTGTAAATATCCTTGATGTAACAACTTTATTCAGAATATTCAGAATATATTTGATTTGATTTGATTTGAGATACAAATCCTCTTGTTTACTTGAGAGTGATTAATATAATGTAAAAATAATTTTTACAAAATAAATCAATATAAATATGTATATAAATAAAGTATAATTAAATAGAAAAATACAACTTTATAATGGAACTAAAAGTTTCTTGCCTATCGGCAATCTTCAGCCATATATATTATACAAATCAAGAAAAAACCGTTAAAAAATACAAAATACAAAAACAGCAGTAGAATGAGTTCCGACGTCAAAAAAAAAAAAACGAATTAAAAAGAAGCATAGTTGTAAAACTGCTAATCGCAAGTGTCAAATTGGGCAAGAAGAAATTTGTTTTTATGCCGGCACTTAGATAATATTTCACTCTTTTTATTTAACAAATTTGGGTGTTTGAAAAATAAAATTTCGTACTTTTTGTTTTAAGCATAAGTTACATCGTTTTGTTACAGGGTTATAGGCCTCGCACTGTTTAATTTTTTTCCACCTAACAACCGGGTTTAAGTTTTCATTTTTTAATCTCCAAACCTCCTTTGACAATTCAGTGTCATTTCTGTACTTGGGAATTCTAAAAGATTTTATGTGATTAGCATATCTAATTTTAAAAGATGTTTCGCTTATGCCAATGTAAAATTTATTGATGAGAGTTTTAACAAGATCGTTTGAGCATACATTAGCTTGATATACTATATTTTTTGTTAAGCATTGGTTTGATAAAAGGCAGGTGTTTTTATCTATGCAATTGCAATTATTTTCAGCTGATTCTTTCTTGTTGTTTATAACATGGCGATTGTGGGCGTTTAAAACGGATTTCATATTAGGCATACAGCTATAACTTACTTTTAATGTGTTTCTGTTAAAAATTTTGTGCAACTTGTGATTTTTAGGGAAGTGCTTATCAATTAATGTTAAAAATATTTTTCCTATATTCGTGCTGACGTTTTTGCTAAAAGGCGGGTTGAACCAAATGATGTTACGTTTACGGTTCTTGGTGTGAGATAATATTAAGTTAGGTTGGTAAGAAAGATTGTAATTAAAACCGGACTTTTTTAATGCTTTATTATACATTGGAGTGGATTTTTGAAAGATTTCCTCGCTTGACGAGTTTGCTGATAATCTTAATTCAATAGAATATAGGAGTTGCTTTAAAATACTGGATGGGTGGTTTGATTCAGCATGAATGTAATTTAAAGAGTTTCCGGGTTTAGAGTAAGGTTGGTAGGTGTGGTTGTTGAGGTTTAATGTAATGTCCAGATAATTTATGATTTTTATGTTGCACTGTGTTGATATCAGAAGATCGTTCGATTTAAATATTTTAACAACATGTTTTTTAATTTTTTCCATATGGGGACCACTGATGTTTTTGAAAATCGCCAAACCGTCATCACGGTATAACCTGAAATCATTCTTATTATAAAACTGTGTAATCTGAAATAAAAGAAAAATCCCCAAAAGTTCACACACCTCGGCGCCATCAAAAGCTCCCATCGAAACATCGAATAATCCGCTTGACTTCTTAATCCAAACTTGATTGCTATCAAATAACAGTGACTTTCTGGCGTGGTAAATAATCGATTTTTGCTCAAGATCTATAACCAGACGCTGCTCAGCAAAACTAATAGCATTTTTAAGTAGTTTTTCACTTATTGAGGGATAAAAATCAACGATATCGAAAATGAGAAACCTATAAAGATTTGGATCACTGATCGACTTGAACCAGCATATAACATCTTGTATTTTTTTCCCACTGATTGAGATAGAGTCTTTTTTACAAAAAATATAGTATATCAAGCTAATGTATGCTCAAACGATAACTCTATAAATCAAATATATTCTGAATATTCTGAATAAAGTTGTTACATAAAGGATATTTACAAATAGTAATTTCTTCTTGCCCAATTTGACACTTGCGATTAGCAGTTTTACAACTATGCTTCTTTTTAATTCGTTTTGTTTTGACGTCGGAACTCATTCTACTGCTGTTTTTGTATTTTATAACGGTTTTTCCTTGATTTGTATAATATATATGGCTGAAGATTGCCGATAGGCAAGAAACTTTTAGTTTCATTATAAAGTTGTATTTTTCTATTTAATTATACTTTATATATATATATATATATATATATATATATATATATATATATATATATATATATATATATATATATATATATATATATATATATATATATATATATATATATATATATATATATATATATATATATATATATGTATATGTATATGCGAAAAGCATATAAACATATATATATATATATATATATATATATATATATATAAATATATATATATATATATATATATATATATATATATATATATATATATATTGATTTTAATATTATTTTATAATACATGATTCGACTATTTCATAGCCATCATTAGTTAAAATATATTAAAATGCTTAAATCAAATTATTAAAATTAAGTTAAACAAATGGAGACCTTATAATAAAAAATACAATAAAAATGCAACTAAAAAATGTAACAAATGTTTTAAAAAAGATAAAAGATAAAAGAACCGGTAATGTTAAAAGGAACTAGATTGAAATTATCATTTTTACATGATTCATTTGTTTATTAATAGTGGGTTTTTCCCACTCTATGTGCATGCTTTCTTTGACTTTTAATATAAATCTGTTGAAGGCCGAATCCAAGATTGAAAAACTAGCATGATTAAAATTATTAAAACAGCTTTCATTTGAATGAAAATGTTTAATAATGTGTGAGTTTTTATCCCTTTTTTGGTGCTCGATTATTCGCATTTTTAAACATATTCGCTCAAATGAAAGCTGTTTTAATAATTGTAATCATGCTAGTTTTTCAATCTTGAATTCGGCCTCTAACAAATTTATATTGAAAATTCAAAAAAGGCATGTACATAGAGTGGAAAAAATCCATTATTTATAAACAAATGAACCATGTAAAAATGACAATTTCAATTTAGTTTCTTTTAACATTACCGGTTTTTTTTTTTTTTTTTTAAACATTTGGTACATTTTTTAATTGCATTGTTATTGTATTTTTTATTTTAAGTTCAACTTAATTTTAATAATACAAGTACTGAAAAGAACACGAAAGCGGTTTCCAGGATATCTTGGAATGATACCAAGTGGTAACTTGTTATTGTCTAAAAATTTTACAAAACCTTGTAGATCACCTTTTTCGACTTTGTATCTCATTTTGCATATAGCCAGAATAATCAATACCATGCAGTCATTTCCATATAATTTGCTACTCTCATCGATTGCAACTTCAAGATGCAAATCAAAAAAAATTATGTAGTTATACATATTTATTTCATATATCTAACATGAAATTAAAAAAATATATAAGTTTTGTATAAAAAATTTATACATACTTATTTTTCATTTGATTATACTACAAAATGGTATTTAATGATGATCTTAAAGTTTACTACACCTTTTCAAGATGTAAATGAGAACATGAAAGTTGTAATTAAGAAGTCGTAATATGTAATTAAGAAACACAACATGTAATTGAGAAAACGTTATATGTAATTGAGAAACACAACATGTAAATAAGAAGTCGTAACATGTAATTAAGAAACACAACATGTAATTGAGAAAACGTAAGATATAATTGAGAAATCATAATATGTAATTGAGAAATCGTAACTTGTAATTGAGAACACATAAATTAAAATAGCAAATTCTCAGTCTAAGTTTGTAGGTTGTTACAAAAGGTCTTTTTGGACATGAATTTAAGTTATAATCTTAAAATTTGCTTTTGTATGCACAAGTATTATTAATGGAATTGAAAGATCGTTGTGTTATATGCCAATACACTATGACCCGAAAGTCTGTGATTAAGCTAAATCCGTGTCAACATTTATGTCACCAAATTTGTTTACGTCCAGTTCTGGAACAACCAGATTCAAGTTGTCCGATTTGTCGGCATGAAATACACACAACTGAACAAGTTGAAAGGAAACGTTACGTTTTATCTTCTCCAAATGACAGGAGAAG